AAGTTGGGCCCTAGCAGACCTATCAGATACGTGGTGTGAATCTCGCCGGGAATGGAGGCCCGTGGAGTCCGTACGTTGCCGGATTCGCAGCAGGTGTTCCTTCCCCATGCACTCAGCTGCATTTAGTTGACGCTGATTGCTATCGTGGAGCCAATATCACCAATCGTTGCAATACTCTTGACTTTGATATTCCGCCCAACACCAACGCGGCGAATACCACGACATGCAATAAGCTCGCCTGGCAGCCTTCTGAAGATGAAGGTGGATGCGGCTTAGTGGCGTATCAAGTGTTCCGTGAGGGTTCCCTCATTGCTGAGGTTCCAGGAAGCAACATTCACTTTAGTGACTTGGACGCTAGTCTTGTCTGTGGTCAAGAATACAACTATGCTATCCGAGCGCTCAACTGTAGGGGAGATGAGAGCAGTCCATTGGTGAACGTCACCGTTCGACAAGGCGCCCGTCCATTGCCTCTATGCAGAGACTTCGTTGAATCTGCGGAAGGTTGGGTCTGTGATGGTAACGGTCTCTCGGCCAAGCCTGCTTCTACAACGTCGCTGAACTACAGTTGGCCGCGTTTGGGTTCCGCCGTATCGCTCCGAGAAGATTGGCAGTCGGGTTTCGCTGTCAATGAGAGTATCCTGGGCTATATCTTATCGCATGACGATGGCCTTATGGGGAACATGGAAGTCGTCTATGATGGAGTTGGCTGGCCTTCACAAACGTTCTATATTCAGAAGAATCTGACCCCTGGGCTGACGTACAGGGCAACTGTTAGGGCTGTCACTACTGTTGGCCAAGGAGAGGCTTCTCCGGTGCTCTACACTGTTATGGCTGAGCCTCCGGACCCTCCAATGAATGTGAAGATAAAATGGGCTACTCCAACGGGCGGAGTTGATTTGTATTGGACCGCTCCGACTTACACTGGTCATAGCCCCGTCACGAGTTATATAATCCAGTATCGCTCAGTTGGCGAGAGCTCTGAGTTCTTCACCATTCCGCGCTACCCAAGTGGCGTGGAGCAAGGGCCGTATCGACTTGATGAAAGCGATAATCTAACACGAAGCCAAGAGTTCGAGTTCCGTATGGCTAGTGTGAACACTGCTGGACAAAGTCAGTGGAGCGAAGTGGCATCGATATGGGTTGGGAATAGGCCATTGCCTCTGCCCGAGAGGCTTGGCTTGTGGTTCTCTATGGTCAACAAGACACATGTGGGAGTGTCCTGGCCTCAGCTTGATGATGAATCGTTGTTGATGATCCCCGATATTTATGGGACTAGGAGGGACGCGTGGGGTTACGTCTTATACGCTTATGCGTTTACCGGTAACTATACGCCGTCTGAAGCTTACAGGACTGCGGCATCGGCGAACGTTACTAGCACCATCATCGCAGTCCCGACCGAGGCAACATGTGGAGGTTTGTTCTGCATTACATTGCGATTGTGGACACTAGTTGGTGATGGGACAGACAATCCAGATTGGAGAGCTTGTACTGACACCTCGGACCTTCCTGGCACGCCCATCGATCCTCGAGTGGTACCATCACCGAATAATGCTTCTAATGCATATATAACCTGGCAGGAGCCCACGTACACTGG